TTTCCTTTCTAAAACACTTTTATGCACACAGAAGCAGACTGACCCCTAAAATGTGACCTGGAGCAAACAAGCCCTGCACAAAAGTACACCCTCCCCACCATGCCCAGTGTCTCCAGTGCCTGGAGCCCCACTTTATCCTCCAGGCTAACCCTTTCCATCCATTAAGACTCCTCGATCCCCCTCTTCTCCAAGAGCTTTACCTGAGCGGAACACCCCAAGACAGGTTAAAAGTCTATTTCCAGCTTCACTGCATGGAAAATAGTACTCAGATGCCAACTTTGAGCCATTAAAGGCTGTTAATATTTTATTTTTACACATGCAGAATAGTACAAAACCTTCTGTTGACCCTACTTTGCCATCTGGTCACTACACCAATTCTCTGATCCTCTTTACAGCAAAAACTTTTAAAGATTTGTTTTCTCAGATTCTTCCCATAATCCCATGCCAGTCAGGCTTCCTCCCCACCACACTCCCCAATCTGTCCATCAAGGTCACCAACAGCCTCCATGTTGCTTAATGCCATGATCTATGCACAAGACTCACCTTCCTTGATCTATCAGCAGAATCTGATACCACTCACCACTCCCTCCTCCTTGAAATACTCTATAAACTTGGCTTGTAATCCTTCAGCTGATCAAGAGTTATCTAATTCTGAGTTTCAGTTGTTGAGGGTCCTGACTCACTGGTCAGCTATGCCACGTAGCCATGACAACACCATGCCAAAGCATAGTATCAGGCTGACAGTTAATAAATGTCACTCCATAACACATGCTGAATGGAAGGAAATGACTATTTGGAGAGAAGGAACCAAGAGGGGGAATCATCAGTAATCCCAATAGAACACACACACACACACACACACACACACACACACACACACCCCAGATCTGAGCAGGACACATAAAAATGATCTCCTCCCACAAGACTATAAAAACAGGGAAGGATATTTTTGCTTTGAAAAATATACTCTTTGGAACAACAGTCTCCCAGGAGATTTTAACTGGCAGCTTTCGTTAACACTATTCTCTCTCAATAGACAGAGTACTTGCTGTATTTTCAAGGGAATAGTCAAGTACCCATCAGAGAAAACTGTTTTCTAAAAAAGTTAGAGCATCCATGTTGATTACACTTCGCAGTAGTTTACAATAAAAAGTTTGAAATAATACTAGAATTGTTGTTGTCCTGGCTGTAGAAACTTAGAAATATAATTGAACAAAAAGATATAAAGCCACTTTTAAAAATAGCAAAAACACAATTCTACAATCAGTATATTTGTCACTGGATTCAAAAAAACAACCATGACACAACACTCAATAAAAAAAGACTGTTTCTCACTTAGGATGTGTACATTTAAAATAACAAAAGATTTGAACATTAACAATAATTTTACATTATGATGAGCAAAAGTCCATGACACATGAACAATAAACAAGGAAAGAAGTTCATCCATCAAGTGGCCAGAGAGAGATCTACCAAAAAGCAAATGTCTCAGTCAGGCAAAGTTCCCCAAAGATGGGTCAGAGCCCAGGGAAGAAATCTGGAGACAAAACCACCAAAGAATCGCTGTTCCTCATCCAGATGAAGAATGGGCTAGGAAGTGGGTGGAGGGAACGTTTCTAAGACCTGCTGAGAATGAAAGCATAGGTGATTTGATAAAATGCAAGTTGGAAGGAATGCTGATGTTGACTCTATTGCAGGACACAATGAGAGAAAATAGTATAGGAAAAGTCCTAATGAAAAACTGACTCCTATCTCATAGTCGAGAAAGCTTTCATTCTTCATAAAGAGAATCATCACATTAAACAGTAAAGCTTTTGTACTTGTGACCTGGGTAATACAAAAGCTCTGCATGTTTTATGCCCGTGCGAGTTTCAAGAAAAGTATCTGCAGTTAAATACAGTGCCTTTCTCTTGTCTTACCATGACATACAGCAATGGTCAGATTTTCAAGTGAGAACATACGTGTAAACGTTAAAACTAGAAGAGATAACTGAAAATCTATGCTGATCAAAAAATTGAGTGTTTCCTACGTACAAAGCACTGACTGGGCAAAGTAACAATTACCTACTGTGAGAAACTGAAATTGATCAGATAAGACAGAAACAGTTAAAAAGAAGTAGAACACGTGTCTTCAGAAAAATAGACATAAAAATGCTTTGTGAGCTCAGAAGAGGGGGAGAAAAGATTTGAAATGAGGTTTTAGCACAATCAGATCCTAACAGGTGAACAAACTGTTTTTGATGTCAGAACATCAAAACACAGAAGACAAATAGAAGATTTTAAAATAGAAAAAAAGCGTCCAGAAAGTGATAAACAAGGCACCCCAATGAAAGGATAGAATCAGAATGGGTTTGACCTTCTCAAGAGTAACACTGAAATCTATAGGATAATGGAACACGGACTTCAAAACTCCTAAGAGAAATGGTCCACGGCTTAAGAATTGTGTACCTTGCCCAACAACTCTCAGTCAAGTGTGAATGAAGGTAGAAAAAAGACATTTTTAGAAATGCAATGTTTCAAAAAAAAAAATTGCTCTCTGTGACTTTCTCAGGTTAGTTCTGGAAAATGTGCTCTAACAAACAAGAAAATAAACCATGAATGAGGATGGGTGGCATATGAAAACAGGGGACATAGATAGAACAGAACTCCCCAGATGTTGCTGAGATGGATCCCAGAATGTCAGCTGTGCACCAGGTGTGCAAGGTGACCAGTCCAGACTAGAGCAGGCCAGATGCTCCAAATAAGATGTCTTCAAGAGGAAGCCAAGCGAGTATTTAATATCACCGAACATACTAAGATGCTACTTTAGCAACTGGCAGAGCTGTGGTGGAATTAGCTGTAAGTTCACAGAAGACCAGCCAAAGGAAAAAAACACTGTTCATTCCAGGGAAGACATAAAAGCTGTGAAGAAAAGAAAAAGTAATCAAG